AACACCCTCTCTTCTCCCCATACCCAAGCTCACGCGAACGTTTCCAGCCAGTTCCTTTTCATCGATCGAGCTTGTACGCGCCGCATCCACCATCAAACCCGACTCCGTCCTCTCATGCCCTAGCTAGTGCAAACAGTTGCTCCTCATCTTCCAGCGAGTACCTAGGAGAGGCGGCCAACTATCCACTGTACACAGCAACCGCCCTCTCACCGTGCCTCCCTTTCCCGAGCTTGCTCAAGACTGCAACGGAACACTGAGGTAACGACAATGCAAATATACTATGTGATTTCTCTTCATGTTTGCTTTGCAGAACTAACCAATAAATTCAATAAAGTGTTTTCCATTTAAACATCAAGCTTTACTTTAGCTTTTAAATGGTTTTAAGCAAAGAATTACTGAGAGAAATATGCATGCATTCTATTTTTGGTAAACAAAACAACCTAAATGAGAAGTAGATTAGATTCATGGTTAATCCTTATTTTGTTTTTCATTTAATTTTGTTCATGGATATTTTTGTTTTAACCTCAAACTCTTTTAGACTTCCATTCTTTTTTATGTTTCAACATATTTTAGTTGTATCTTGATATGTAATAAGCTTATCTCATAATATCAAAGGGTCTTTGTCTTAAGTAGTGCACTGCATGAGTTTTAATCTAGAGCACTTGGACATCATTCATAGCACAAAATTCTTATGAGATAACTATGGGTTATTGTTGATTTGAATTATTGTTATGTGAAGGTGTGTAATATTAATACCTAAATTGCATATCTAACTCTTTTGTATATGTGTTTTAATTGGGGCATTCGTAGCACTTCTTGGGATGTATCCAAACATAGGATAAAAATCAATATTAATGTTAGCACATATTACATAGATTCCCAGAAATCCACAAAAGAAACTGATGACAGGATATCTAGTATAGATATTTGAAGATCCACATGGTCAACCATATTACAACAAACGTGGTTCACTCTAGATATGCAATGGCTTTGAAACGAGGATAAACTATTCTCAAATTGCATTTGTTTTACTTCAAAGAAAAACCAATATTCTTGGAGCCATTGCATTTAGAATACATTACCCACATCTTACTTTAAACCAACACTACTATAAATCAATATTGCATGCAAAATTTTGGAAACCACTATTATAGAGTATATTTAAGGGTGCGTTTGGGACGGCTTCACGACTGCTTTGCTTTATAAAAAAATTGTTAAATGCTCGTTTGGGGGGATGCCCAATCTAGATTTAGGATTCAAGGCTACTACATCCGGTCTCGTAGTATGCCTTAAATGGTAGGTTGGTCCCTTCTTTTCAGGGACCCTAAATCCTACTTATCCGCGTCACAGGATGACGCCATCTCCATCATTCTCTCACGCATGTGGTTGAGTGCTTAATTTTTTTTCTCCAGTTTTTGTTTAGTACCCTAGAGCCTCCGAGTGCCGGTATGAGCCACGCATGTTGATTCAGCCCTTCAGACCTTTCTTCTTTTTGGATAGGATTTCCTAGTCTATACCCTTGTGCTAATCCCAATTTGGAAAAGATAATGTATGATCCTTAATCGAGAGTTTTCTCGGGCTCCGGCCCGAGATGTAATTAACCACGGGGGCTTGCGCCCGTGGAAAACTTGGCCCCGCAATCTACTTTACCCTACTCGATCTCTCGTATCGGGTGGGGGAAACCCGTGACTAGGTCGTGTATATCGCTACCCATCGGGGTGTGTTGGCAACAGCCTCTATCCTCAATAGTCAGTCGTATGCACGATCCAATTTGCCCTCCCATCGACCTGTTCGTGTCGAGTGTAGAGGTCTGCGATCGTTTTGTCCCACATGGATAGTGCGGCCGTACCCTCTGCGTTCGTACCCCACTAGCGATGCTCCTTCGGAGGTCCACAACTGCAATCTCAATCATTCCTCACCAATCGAATAATCTCATCCATTCACACTAGGGATTACTGTAACACTCTTTCAATATAAGCTTCACTATAGCTTCTTCAAATGAATTGATGAAGGAACTTACCTCTCTATTGTCTATGCATTTCTCTGTGTTATATTCTCTCTTCATGGTATCAAAGACTAATGAAGACTAATAGCTCTTCTTTCTTGACCGATGTCTGACATCAGTGCCTCTATCACTATAGATCATACCTCAACCGAAGTTACCATCATGGAAAAAATGACAATACCTCCCTCTCTTAAGTTTCTCATATCTAATATCAAGCACATCACCCACATACAACTCACTAGTGACAACTATTCTGGCATCCGCTCCATCATCGTCCTGTGCCAAGCATTCACTTAGCTCATGTCCTCTCTATGAGTTGCTCAACCAACTTCATTATTCTTTGATATTTCTCACTTTCCTTTAAATGTTTTGTTTTGTTTTAACATAGGAAGAAGATGTCCTTAAGAGTGGCAGATCTAGAGACAAAGCTTTACCCAGCGCATAAGGAGATTGAGATGCTAAAGAGAAGATGGCTTCTACGGAGGCAGCAAGATTGGACATGCAAAAGGAGCTTGAAGAGACAAAGAAGCATTTTCCTGTCTCTCTCCTGAAAAATGAGGCTCTAGATCTAGTCGACAAGGAGAAAGAGAACTTACAGAAGACTATACATATGGAAGAAGAGAAAGTTGAACCTGCCAAAGTCCTCGTAATGGATAAAGATGAGCTTTTGCCCACTACAAAAGGCTGTGTGAAATGCCTGGCTCTCAGAACTCCACTCCACACGCTAGCGTGTATGACGGCCTTAGTTCGCAGGTTAGTCCCGGGTTCATGGGTCAGGTTGGGTCAACTCCTAACCCGTGCGGGTCAGGTCTGGGTTGGATTTCCTGACATGTTTGCGAAAACGGGTCAGGTTAGGGTCAACCCATTTTGACCCGGGTTAATACGGGTTCGACTCGAACCCGACCCGCTGACCTGTTTTAACACCCCTATGTTTGGGGTCCTTCCCATATTCCCTCATTATATGGATATCTTTGTTATATTATTTTCATGGATGATTACTCAAAATTTGGATGGTTGTACCCAATGCATCACAAATATGAAACTCCTCATCACCTAATGAATTTCATTCAAATGGATACAACCCAATTAAAAACTTCTATTCAAACCATTTGATCAGATGGAGGTGGGGAATATATCTCTCAGTCTCTAGCCACCTTTCTCAATCATAAAGGCATAACACATCAGTTCAGTTGTCTTTACACACTTGAACAAAATGGAGTCTCTGAAAGAAAACACAGGCACTTGATTGAAATTACTTGAACACTCCTTCAAGCTACCCATCTACCTCTCGCTTTCTGGTTTGGGGAACTTCTCACCTCCCTTTATCTAATTAATCATCTCCCCTCTCCTAATACCAAATAAAAATCCCCTACCAACTGCTCCACCACAAATTGCCAACCTACAACCATCTTAGAATATTTGGCTATCTTTGTTTCCCATGGCTACATCCTCTATCTCCCAACAAGCTCGCCCTGTGCTCCACACCATGTGTCTTCCTTAGTTACTCTAATACCCACAAAGTCTACCATTGCTACAACCTTCAAACTCACAAAATTCACATATCTTGTCATGTTATGTTTGACAAAATTGTCTTTTCATATCCATAAAACCAACCTGAATCCCCTCCACAACCCTCTCTACCTCCACTCTTGTTAGTTTAATAATCCCAATAACCACCACACTCCACCTCACCTCAGCCATATCTCAAACCATCACAAGTATAATCCCTTACTTGACCCATGTTATTACGGATAACCAGCCCAATCATGTCTCAACTTCCATGTCACCTTCCCCCACTTCTCAGGCATTAGTAGATCACCCCATTACCAGACACCCCATGATTACCCGAGCTCAAACAAGCCACCTCAACTGAAATTTATCTTTACTCTCACTTCCCATGTACCCATTTCACAAACGAGTTAACCCAAACCCGAATTTTTCTTGGTCGGGTTTTAGGTCGTGTCAAAAATTGACACCCCTACCAAAACATTAGTTTGTCTTAAGAATAATTTTGTGGACTTAAAATAAGTTTTGGAATTAAAAGGTAGCCCATGGATCTTGACTACATTACAAGCATTACAAGAAGTAAAAACATTGGACTAACAACTAAACTTAAGTAACCTATATAATTTGTATAGAGTGGAACAATGCATATGGCCCAGTCTAGCATGCCATAGCTGTAGATGGTTGAGTTTTGATGTGAGGGTTGGATGAATGGAGTAGAGAGTATAAGATGCAATGGGATACAAAACATTACTTATCAAGATACAACTAAAAAATGTTGAAACATAAAAAGAATGGAAGTCTAAAAGAATTTGAGATTAAAACAAAATTATCCATGAACAAAATTAAATGAAAAAAAAAATCAGATTAACCATGAACCTAATATACTTCTCATTTAAGTCGTTTTGTTTACAAAAATAGAACGCATGCATATTTCTCTCTGCAATTCTTTGCTTAAAACCATTTAAAAGCTAAAGCAAAGTTTGATGTTTGAATGGATTGAATTTATTGGTTAATTCTGCAAAGAAAACATGAAGATAAATCACATTGTATAATTGCACTGTCGTTACCTCAGTGTTCCGTTGCAGTCTTGATCAAGATCGGGAAAGGGAGGCACGGTGAGAGGGCGGTTGCTCAAAAATCAATCAAATTCTATTTTATAGATCAAATTATATGCTGCACTTATATATATCACTTTTTCAAAATAAAAAAAAATTAATTACGTATGCTTAAATTTCAAAGATGAATAATTTAGTCTGTCATAATAAAATCACTAAAGCTAACCACCTAAACAAACAATTTATATATGTTTTCTAGTTTTAATAAGCATAAAAGAATAATATTTCTCAAATAATAAGTCATTATTAAAACTCCATTTTATTAAACTTCTTTTTCTCAACCATTATTTATAAAATTCAATTTTACATAAGCAATAACCCAATCAAACAAGCCCTAAAGCGCATCCAATAATAAAGGTTTAAACTGCCCCATTAACCTAGTTTAAGCCCCCAGTAGGCCGCTCAATCAGTCACTCCTCTCGTGCCCTAGCTCGTGCCAATCCCGCCTCCTTCTCCCCCACGATATAATCTCCATCTCCCAAGCCCGAAACCTCTTCCTGATCTCATCTCCGTCTCCCAAGCCTAACTCCCTCTCCCCATACCCAAGCTCACGCGAACGTTTCCAGCCAGTTCCTTTTCTTCGATCGAGCTTGTACGTCGCCGCATCCACCATCAAGCCCGACTCCGTCCTCTCATGCCCTAGCTAGTGCAAACAGTTGCTCCTCATCTTCCAGCGAGTACCTACGAGAGGCGGCCAACCATCCTCTGTACACAGCAACCGCCCTCTCACCGGGCCTCCCTTTCCCGAGCTTGATCAAGACTGCAACGGAACACTGAGGTAACGACAATGCAAGTGTACAATGTGATTTCTCTTCATGTTTTCTTTGCAGAATTAACCAATAAATTCAATCCATTCAAACATCAAACTTTACTTTAGCTTTTAAATGGTTTTAAGCAAAGAATTACAGAGAAAAATATGCATGCGTTCTATTTTTGTAAACAAAACAACCTAAATGAGAAGTATATTAGGTTCATGGTTAATCTGATTTTTTTTTCATTTAATTTTGTTCATGGATATTTTTGTTTTAATCTCAAATTCTTTTAGACTTCCATTCTTTTTATGTTTCAACATATTTTAGTTGTATCTTGATATGTAATAAGCTTATCTCATAATATGAAAGGGTCTTTGTCAAGTAGTGCACTGCATGAGTTTTATTCTAGAGCACTCGGACATCATTCATAGCACAAAATTCTTATGACATAACTATGGGTTATTGTTGATTTGAATTATTCTTATGTGAAGGCGTGTAATATTAATACCTAAATTGCATATCTAACTCTTTTGTATTTGTGTATTAATTGGAGCATTCATAGCACTTCTTGGGATGTATCCAAACATAGGATAAAATTCAATATTAATGTTAGCACATATTACATAGATTCCCAGAAATCCACAAAAGAAACCCATGATAGGATATCTAGTATAGATATTTGAAGATCCACATGGTCAACCATATTACAACAAACATGGTTCACTCTAGACATGCGATGGCTTTGAAATGAGGATAAACTATTCTCAAAACCCTTGCATTTGTTTTACTTCAAAGAATAACCAATATTCTTGGAGCCATTGCATTTAGAATACATTACCCACATCTTACTTTAAACCAACACTACTATAAATCAATATTGCATGCAAAATTTTGGAAATCACTATTATAGAGTATATTTAAGGGTGCGTTTGGGACAGCTTCACGACTGCTTTGCTTTATAAAAAATTTGTTAAATGCTCGTTTGGGGGATTGCGGCAGAACTGAGTTAGAAAAATATCTGCATCCTGTCACTGCTTCTTGCGAACTTTCACTGCCTCACGTGATTTGTTGTGGGTCGCTACTTTCCGCTGTTTCGAAGGGCATAAATGACGAAAATGCCCAATCACAATGTTTGCTACAAACCAACGTCGACCTTCTCAAGCTCATCCATCTCGGGCTCACCTTCTCCGAGGCATGCCGATTTGCCAAAGCTCCCTCCACTCACCGCTGCTTCTCCTATACGCCTTCCTCCGACTCTGCTCTCTTCTCCCCATTTCTCCTGGTTAAGATTAGGATTCCTATTTAAATATGGGTTGCGATCACCAGTATCAATCGCATCTCTTAGTGAGTTGCGCACCCTCCTTCTCTCCTTTCTTCACTCTCCCCACCTTTGTCTCTCTTCTTCGCTGCCGCCATCGCCGCAACTCAGCGCCGGAACTGTTGCCTATCGTCGGCCGCACTGCTCGCAGATCTTGTGGACTGGCTTCGCTTTGCTCCTCGTCGGTGCCTTGTTCGCACTCCTACTCTGCGGATCCGTCACCTTTGTGCTTGGCTGCATCCTGTTTCCATAGGTTATGGCTATTCCAAGAATATAACTCATTATTGGCCTTTTGAGGAATTTATATATATACTTAAAAATATTTTCTTAAGTGATATCAAATATTATTATTTTCTCGAGATAATTTTGAAGTATGATATTATATTGTCAAAAAAAAAAAAAACTAAGAGTACTTTGATATTTAAAAGATATAAAATATTTCATAAAAATGGGTACAATTGTAATTTAGAAATGGTAGTTTGTTATTATATACATTAAAAAAATTGAAATATAAATATCTTTTTTTTTCAATTCAATATATATAAGGGTATCAAGGTAATTTGTTCGCATACAGCTGCAACACAACAACTTCACAATTATACTTTCTAAACAAAATATAATGATTTATGTACAACAACAAAAAATAGCTTTTTGTTCATCAATTTCACAATCTATTTTACCAACAGCTGCAGCCGTCCCAAACACATTCTTATGAGTGGTGATTGAAACCACCACTTTTAATGACGGTTTAAAGCTCCTCCAATACTAACGGTTTAAACTGCCCCATTAACCTAGCTTATGCTCCCAGTATGCCGCTCAATCAATCACTCTACCCATGCCCTAGCTCGCGCCAAACTCGGCTCCCTCTCCTTGAAATAATCTGTCTCCCAGCCCGACACTCTCTTCCTGATCTCATCTCTGTCTCTCAAGTCTAACTCCCTCTCCTGACACCCAAGCTAATACGAACGTTTCCAGCCAGCTACTCTTCATTGATCGAGCATGTACGTCGTTGCAGCCAGCATCAAGCCCGACTCCATCCTCTCATGCCCTAGCTAGTGCAAACAGTAGCTCCTCATATTCCATCGAGCACCTACGAGAGGCGGCCAACCATCTACTATACATAACAACCGACCTCTCACCGTGCTAACGACAATGCAAGTATACAATGTGATTTCTCTTCATGTTTTCTTTGCAGAATTAACCAATAAATTCTTTAAACTTTTTTCCATTTAAACATCAAACTTTAATTTAGCTTTTAAATGGTTTTAAGCAAAGAATTACAGAGAGAAATATGCATACATTCTATTTTTGTAAACAAACCAACCTAAATGAAAAGTAGATTAGATTCATGGTTAATCCTGATTTTTTTTTTCATTTAATTTTGTTCGTGGATATTTTTGTTTTCATCTCAATTTCTTTTAGACTTCCATTCTTTTTATGTTTCAACATATTTTAATTGTATCTTGATATGTAATAAGCTTATCTCATAATATCAAAGGGTCTTTGTCGTAAGTGGTGTACTGCATGAGTTTTAATCTAGAGCACTCGGACATCATTCATAGCACAAAATTCTTATGAGATAACTATGGGTTATTGTTGATTTGAATTATTGTTATGTGAAGGTGTGTAATATTAATACCTAAATTGCATATCTAACTCTTTTGTATTTGTGTATTAATTGGGGCATTCATAGCACTTCTTGGGATGTATCCAAACATAGGATAAAAATCAATATTAATATTAGCACATATTACACAGATTCTCAGATATCCACAAAAGAAACCCAAGGCAGGATATCTAGTATAGATATTTGAAGATCCACATAGTCAACCAGATTACAACAAACATAGTTCACTCTAGACGCGTACCAAATTTGTTGACCTTTACAAAAAAAAAAACCATTACCACGTACATCGTCCCCACAATTCCTACAGAAATCCAGCTAAAATCACTGCCTCCGGCGCCGAAGTAGTCTCTTCTGGGATTTCCTGCACAGTAGTTCGTCTATCGCACCCCACACATTGATTAAAATGAGAACGAAAATGAAGTTAATTCGTTTCTTCTTCCAGCATACAGGCTTCTAATTTACTTCCCTTTGTCAATCGACCTCCGCCCCTGCCTCACAAGAAGCCAGTTCTCACTGCCTCCGGCGCCGAAGTAGTCTCTTTCGGGATTTCCTACACAATAGTTCGTCTATCGCACCCCACACATTGATTAAAATGAGAACGAAAATGAAGTTAATTTGTTTCTTCTTCCTGCATACAGGCTTCTAATTTACTTCCCTTTGTCAATCGACCTCCGCCCCTGCCTCACAAGAAGCCAGTTCGAAGACCATAGCCAAATGACACTGGACTAGAGGGGGCTCGACGAATTCACGTCGACAATCCGGTGGCCGTCGTTGGATAACTACAAGAACTCACCTAAGAATCACTCTTAGGATACAGGAAAACAAACAAACAAAACTAAACTCAAATCTTATTCCAATCCATCATATTACAAGACACTCGCCTATATATATATATATATATATATATATATATATACTTCAGGTAGCCACATAATAGGTACACAAGAGATAGGAGCTACAACAATCATAAAGAAATACAATTTATTTATTAGGACGCTTCTGCGTCATTCTACCAGGGTAGGAGGGAACTTCGAGCTCTAGAAAGAGGTCTGGTTGGCCACAAATAAGGAGGCGGTTTTGGTTGGCTAAACCGGTATGGATATTTCCACCCGGTGTCACAAACAGCTAGCTGCGCAAGGCGCATTGGAAGGCATGGAGGTCCTTCTAGCCTCTCAAATGCAACATTGCAGGGAAAGCTGAAGCTTGCTATGAATATTTCATTTAAGCCGCAGGTCTCTCATGTCTTTCCATAATGAACTTGGGATGAAATAAGTAGTACCTATCACTTGGCAACTGGGAGGAGTAAAAGTAGATAAGCCCAACAACAGAATTTTAAGTCGGCAACAGTACCATGTTGATTCAACCTGGTAAGTGGAGTCAAGTACAACTTCTATTTGAAGAATTCTTGGGTTACCCTTAAAGATGATTGATTCTATCATCTAAGGCATCTTTTTCAAAGTTTTTTCACTATTGCAGCTTCTTAAGATTCGCATGTAGTTCCTTTCAATCATTAATATGTGTTAAGATCAAAGAAGTGTCGTCATCATTACTCGTCATATGCAGGTCATTAAGAAGGGTAAAATGATATGGCAATGATCTTTACATCTTGAGCTGGACTTGATCAGTGGCGGGGTGAAGACTGATGAGGTGGTCTTTCAAACACTTCTTTGTAGGTGGAAAAGATATGATCCTTAGAGGATGCCCTCGTCATCGTCATTCGGTTCGTAATGATGTAGTGGAACGAGCGGATTTAAAAATTGTCATGGAGTACTCCCCGTAGTTGACGCCATGAAGTCTCGAGCAGGGGCTCAAGTCTTTCCTTCGCTACATCCTTGACAATCGTAGTTGAGTCGGCAATTTCTGTAGGTGATCTTCAATTTCTGCTTCTGAAGTGGATCGTGATGATCCGGTAGGACATCTTGTCGAGGACAATCACCACTTGACTAAATTCCAAGATACAAAAAAATGCAAATAAAAATAGAAATCTTCAAATATTGATAGAAGAAACAAATTCCTAAATAGGAGTGGAAAATAGCCTTTCTAGAGAAAGGTATCAGCGAGCAAGCAAAACATAATTCTTC